GGTTGGCAAATAATCATGCAGAAGCATTTCCCAGATACAAATCCCTAAACCTCACATAATTAAACCTCCAACCAGCACTAATATTAATCACGACAGATTCTTCATGATGAGTATTACAATATCCAAAACGTGCATCAAGTTAGTGTCACAGTGCTCAGTAGTATGTGCCCTTCTTCTCCATCTAGTGTAGCCAAATATTAAGTAGATTATCACATACTTTACATCCAAAATTCCACAAAAAATAGCACATATTTAATTAAAGAGGGAGAGATAGAACACACATCTTTTCAAAGAAAACTAAGAGAAACATGTATCTCAATTTATTGGAGAAATTGCAAACAATATTTTCATTCAAAATTTGATCATCTAAACCTAGCATAGATAAAGTCTATAGCATATATCAATCCAGTACCCGAAACAAGCCTGGATCAAATAAATGCTTAAAAACCATCATTAGTAACTCCATACCCCTTCTGTCATTGATATTACAATAGCAAGGAGGGTTTAGATATGCGTGGACCATCAGAGAGGAAATAAATTACGTCCAAAGTAGACAAATAAAATGGAACACACAAAGACAGACAAAGAATACTCATTCAAATTTCCCAATGATTAGAAGTAACTTTAATTGGAAATTAGATGTCTAACTGCCTTCACTTTTTACTCATTTCCATCCAACAAAATTACTCAGGAAGCAGGGTAATTTGTACCATTAAAAGTGTCCCATCACTCTAAAATATTCTATATCAATCTGCTACCCAAACGGACAACTCGATTGGATTCATATTATATTATTTTGAGACATAAATTTCATATTCGTTGAATAACCCAAAACAACTAACCCAATCTATTCAATAAGCTGAGATAATCAATCAATCTTTGACAGAAAAAATCTCTTGAAAATAAGACACATTAAGCATTTGTTTGTTTATACAATTTTCAATTACCAAGTACACTTCCAGCAGAAACAGGGTTACATTTCAAACTTTTTTTCTCTCATAAAATGGCTACTTTCGCCACACTCTTCAGCTTGTTAATGCAATTCTTTTGCCAAAAAATTTAAAAAAATGAAAAATCTTAATATGAGAGACTACAACTACGAATTCGAGCTGACAAAATTATTACTAAGTAGTTTCCTGAACCCACCACGACTTATCACAATCTATAAATATCCAAACCCCGCAATCTATAAGTACAGTCAATTGACAAATGTAAATTCATAAAAAAACACTAAAAAGCAAAATTAAAATTAAACAAAATTCAAAAAAAAAGAAAAGAAAATAGCAAAACCCTAACCTGTAGGAGAAGACCAAGCGGCGTGAATGACGCAGCGCTCTTGCACATTGGAGCAAAAACCAACAGTAATCTTGTTAAGATCACCACGTAGGACGGAGCCGGCCCAGACGGAGGCACCATCACAAACGGTGACCTGGCCGGCAAGGACAACGTTGGGAGCCACGTAGGCATCCACGGCAACCTTTGGGAGCCACTGACCCAACGGTATTATCTGCCTCTGTCCCCGGTAGTCCCACTTCACTCGATCCGCTGACGGCGTTATGGTCTTGGCACCTGCCGTTGTGGTGGTTGTTGCGGCTGCTGACGTGGAAAGTGCTCGCTGGATGACGTGTCCAGGAGAGAGTGTGTTAATCATAGCTTTCCTCGTGATCCGTGCTAGAGCTGCCATTTTCGATCGATCGAGAAGGCGAGCGAGGGTACTACGTTCAGAGATTTGGGGTCAAGAGGTGGGAATGGAAGACAGTGTGCTGGCAATGGGCTTATTGGACCACAAGTCTAAACAGGCTCAGCCCAAATTAATACTTGTATTTATATTTGTTTGGGCTCAATTGAATTGAGTTTCAGCTTCAGTCCAAGTCCATTACTACAATTGGAAGATGCATTTATTTCTTCTTCAATATTTTTTAGAGTAGCAAGTATTTGTTTTATTATTCACTTTTTGTCCATAAGATGTAGATTTTTGTAACCAAATAGTGGAAATTAGAAATATAATTAATCATTTGCCTTGTGGCTTAATGGCAAGACTTTAGTCATCTGGATGGATTATCAATAAGTCTTGTGTTCAAATCTCACAAAACAGCCACTTATCATATTTGTGACTTATCTGGTCTGGATATATATATATATATATATTCGGAGTGACACCAACTCCAGTAAATGAGAAATTCTTAATATTGTTTGCCCATACAAGAAAAGCAGAGTTTTTATATTCCTGGTATAAGTTATCTTATTCTGAGCTAGCTAGCCTCCATTTTTGGAGAATAAAGTGGATCAGCAAGCCCTATTACCCCACTGAAAACACAGTATACTAATTTTGTCCTTGTTATAAACTTTTAAATGAACTTAAGTGCTATATTTGATCGTGCAGCAACTTGAAGTGAATTTGACTGGTGTGTTAAAAGGGGCGTTTGGTTGGGAGTTATGTGGGATTATTTGGGTTAAGTTATCTTATATTACTTGGTTATCATGTTTGGTTGTCAAGTAATATAAGATATTGGTAATCTTCAAATACCAATAGTGGTTATTATTGGTAATATTTTAGGTAATATGATTACCTCCATTTTCTTAGGTATTTTAAGATTATCAGGGTTATCTTTTTTATTACAATTCTATCTCTTATTAATAAAATTGTAGGACAATAATGCCTTTATTTTTAATTTTTTTTACATAAATATGTCTTTTACTATTTCACCCCAATTAATTAACTTTTTGGACAAAATTACCTTTAAATTCAAAATAAATTACAGCCCACCCAAGCCACCACCCCCACCCACCTGCCGCCGCTGGCTACCACCACTGCGGCCAGTCATTGTCGTAGTCGGAACGACCCACGGAAGGCTGAAAATGGTTGTAGTGTGCGTCGGAAATGGCCAGATCTCTGGCCGAAAATGGCCGTACGGTGCATGGAGGCCATTTCCTGCCTTTCGTGCATCATTAGGTTGCTGGCGGCCTGCGGTGGTTGCCGGCGACTGGCAGTGGCTGGGTTGGTGGGGGTGCTTTATTGATTTTTCAAACTTTTATTATGGGGTTGTTTTTGCTAAGTTTTTAAATGCAAGGGGGTTATAATAATCAATATTAAAAAATAATATAATAATAATATTTAATTAGAGGACAATTCAGTAATTTAAATAACATATCCACCAATTTATTCCTCCCAACCAAACATATTAATATAACATACCCACCAATTAACCAAACACATTTTCCTAAAGATTTCCAGTAATCTTCAAGGTAATCTAACTTTTCAGTAATTCAATATTCCTAGTAATCCAACATTCCTTGAACCAAACACCCCCTAAAGGGAATACTAAAAGCTCAAACTGAGTTATGACAGAATGTGCTTAACTTTACCAGAATACTAGTCATATAAAAGGTCATGAAACCGACACAATAGTAGAAATAGATATGAAAACATTGTCTATATCCTTGCAGAGGATAAGACGATCATCCCCTGCTGACTTGGATCACTCCAATTTGTGGTGATTAATTGTTTTATCATGATAGAAAATAATACAAAATATAAACTAGAATTGAGGCATATCTATCTTTTGGGTAGATAAGTATTATAAATGCAATGGAAATTCTCTTTTTTTATATTCCGATATTGAAGCATCTTTATGTTTCAAAGTTCAAAAGAAGGATACTCAGAATATATACCTGGAAGAGTGCTAGCATTGCCCTTACAAATTACAGTGTAATACATTTGCACCCAGTGTCAGATCCAAGATTTTTGTCGAGGGAGGGCCTTAGCAAATTGCACCAGTTGTATATGCTAAGGTCGCTTGCTTAAGAGAGAAAGCTTAAATATCTTAGGGTGATACGTATCTCGAAGATAATTTATTAAAGGACCACTTCGTCTCTATCTCAATAAATTAAAAACACTATATATATTTGGACTTCACTTGCACTAAAGAAAGCATGCACAGAAATCTTATTAGGTTATAATGGAGACAAATCACAAGCGTAGTAGAGGGTTCATCGAGGACAAACTGGTGGCCAAGCCGGGATCATCTGATGTGCAATATAGCACTAAAGCCAGCAGCCAATCCTCTTCAGCTGCTTCTGTAGGTTTATATGCTGCTGCGTTTGCGGCTCAGCCTCCTAAACAGAAGCTGTTATATGCATCTGAGTTAGGGGATTATGAGTCGATTGGGCATGTTGAGAATCTGTATTCCTATGATCAGAGTATTGATGACAGGGCTGCTAGTTACATTTTGTCTGTCCAAGAGGGTTTTAGGCTCGAGAGAGTTGTTTGAATCATGTATATATCTCCCTTCTCTTTCATTTAGAAGTATCGATATGTTTATGTTTCATGGCTGAATTATATAAATCTATATAATAATTATACTTTGAATGAGCGTTAAAAGTTTCTTTCAATACTAGAGTAATATGCTTCAAATGTATGACCTCATTAATCTTTGTAAAGCAATCAGAAAACTGAAAGTTATAGAATTGTATATCAGAGTGTGTATGCAGCCCAGCTGACAAGTCATCGAGGATGATGAGGATCCTTTTTTTCTAATTTTATACCAATTATATCGTTTAAATTTGAACCTCAACCAAAGTTTTAATTAATTTAAACTTTTCCTTCAATATTTATACATGTCCAGCAACAGAAAACAACAGGAAGAGCTTGAGCTGCTGGAAATTAATAGGTTAATTTGTAAACGAAATCAGAGAACTGAGAGAAGAGATCAGTGTTTTGTACACACCAGTCATATCTAGATTATATATAATATTCATGCTTATTTATTGGAAAAGCAATAATTACAGTACTCCATATAAAATATTGTTTTGTTTGTTTGTAAGTTGCAAATAGTAAGCGACTCCAAACCATCCAACACTAGAAACAGTATATTACACTTTATGCGTAGGCAAGATTTTATAATTTAAAATAGCACACTCGGGAAACAGCAAAAAGCAAAGAAAGTTTGTCATCACCACTCACCAGCCACGTACTGCAGTGAAGTGACGGCCATTGGAGGTTAACGAAGCACTGAATCTTGAATACTCCTGGATGCATTGCATAATTCACCATCACCCATTCTGCAGAAACACAAACATGCAAGTCTAAATAAATAAAACAACATTTGAATATCCTGACCAAAACTAACAGTTTTCAGAAGTACAAACAGCAACAATTTTAGTCAAATGATCTTATCTCTTCTTAAACAATGGATTGAGCAATTACAAGATGAAATTGGGTAACCTTATTTAATTATTATTAACATACATTTTCCTTTATTTTCTATCCCAAGATGGAATATTAAAAAAAAAAAAAAAATGATTACCTTTGCTGAAACGCATGCGGTGGACTAAATCCCAAAATGCTCGAGTTCATGTCAGCATCACGCAGCTCTTGCATCTTAACACAAAAAAAAAAAAAAAAAAAAAAAAAAAAAAAAAAAGAGTTGCAGTTCAAACTTTATTATATTCAAGCTAAATGTATCTGTTTAATGAACAAAATGCATGAATCGAAAGTCTTACTCTTTTGTGAAGTTGGGTGTTCTCCTCTTGTAGGTCCCTTTGCTGCGTTTAAACAACAGAACTTTGGTTTGTTAGTTTATATATCATTTAGCTTTCAAGTTGAGCAAATTGTAAAACCACTTCTACCAGCCGATACTAACCAGAAACCTCAATTGGCTGGCAAGTCAATACTATTTATTCAGGAGAGAGAAAAGGTCTTGCGAATTAACTTCACTGTTTACAGAGTAATTTTGAAGAAGTTGTTACGTATGATTTTTGAAGGATATTAGAGTTAGATATTAAGGCGGACGGGAGGCCATGGAATATTAGCATCAGGGAATGGCGGAATGCTTCCTTTTACAAATATTAGCATCTCATGACTCAGGCATGTAGAGGGTCAGACCATCGACTTGGCAAAGAACTGTTAATTTGTTTAGCCATAAACATTAATCATGTAAAACACGCAGTCCCTAAACAGCTAATAAACTATATGTGATCTTGGACATGGTATGTGGAAAATATGAATAAAATCTGTGTTTGCGATTATGTGAGCTCAAAATGAGATTCTAGCTTACTTAAAGAGAAATTTATGAAAGAGTTTCGAGTTAGTAACTTACCCTTCTTTTCAGAGAGTTCAAGTGCTCAGAAGTTATGCACCTCTGTTGATTAGAATATGAAATGAATCAGTAGGTAACATATATAAATCAACTCAACTTAAGAACATTAATTTCCAATTATATACAGGGTAAATTGTATTGATGGCATGAACCAAACTAGTCTATATAATATAACTATTAGGGGGCGTTTGGTTGGGGGTTATGTAGAATTATTGGGTTATGTCATCTTATATTACTTGATTACAATGTTTGGTTGTCAAGTAATATAAGATTCTGGTAATCTTAAAATACCAGTAATAATTACTGTTGGTAATATTAGAGGTAATTTGATTACCTCAATTTTCTTAGGTATTGTAAGATTACCGAGGTAATCTTTTTTTTATTACAATTTGATCCCTTATTAATAAAATTTTAGGACAATAATACCCTTATTTTTAAATTAATTTACATAAATATGGCTTTTATTATTTCACCCCAATTAATTAACTTTTTGGACAAAATTACCTTTGAATTCAAAACAAATTGCAACCCACCCAAGCCGCCACCCCCACCCACCCACCTACCGCCATCGGCTACCGGCAACCATCACCAGCAGCCAGCCATCGCCGAAACAACGCATGGAAGGTCGAAAATGGTCGTCGTGCGCCGATATGGCCATTTTCGGCCAGAGATCTGGCCAGAAATGGTCATATGGCGCATGGAGGCCATTTCCTGCCTTCCATGCACCTTTAGGTTGCCGGCTACCGGTGGCCGGCAGTGGTTGCCACATGGTTGATTTTCCAAACTTTTATTATGGGGTTGTTTTTGCTAAGTTTTTAAATGTAGGGGGTTATAAATAATCCAAATAATAATCTAAATAACAATATTAAATAATAATATTTAATTAGAGAACAATTCAGTAATTTAAATAACATATCTACCAATTTATTCCTCTTAACTAAACATATTAATAAAACATATCTATCAATTTATTCCAACTAACCAAACACATTTTCCTAAAGATTCTCGGTAATCTTCAAGGTAATCTAACTTTCTAGGAATCCAATATTCTCTGAATCAAACGCACCCTTATTGTAATTAACAAATTTAATTGATTGGTTGCTTTGGTTAAGTGATGTCAAGGCCTATAGTTATCTCATCAACATTACTTGACTAATGTGAAGTGGAGGAATATCCATGGCTCAAATTTTCTCTAGTTCTTGAGATAATATATATCATGAAGGAGATCAACATTAATTAATTACCTCTTTGGCGCGAATTCGCTCAACGCCTGCTTTTAACTGGCGTTCAAGCCTTTTCAGTTCTTTTATGCCCAACGTGGATATATCTTCTCCAGCTAAGTGCCTGCACGTCAAATTCACATTATAGATCTAAAATCACAATCAAAATCACCACCAAACTAATCATATGATAGCTATGGAAACACACCTTAGTCTTTCTTCCATGCTATGTGCTGATCTTTCTAATTCTTCAATCTTATCTTTCAAAATTCTCTGTACATTAAAAAATAGCGACAAATTAATTGTTAGAGACTAAGGTCATGATTACTAGACAGGCGTTATATATATAACTCGCAAATAAAAATGGATTTCACAATAATTTCAATTTTGATGAATATTACCCTTTAATCAGTTATATTATTATTTAATGAATATTTATCTAATTACCCTTTAATCACTTATTCTAATACCTAAAACTTTATTAACTCGTATATTTAATTGACATATTACGTTATCATATAAATTAATTAAAAAAAAATATTCAAGATTGGGTTATTAAATTGGGCCCGATTAGAATTGGATCAGATTCCAATGGCTGAAATCTGTGGTAATCAATCCTTTGGATAGGAAAAGGACTGCTATCCCGACCTTTGATGACTGAAGATTCGGTACGATGATCCTAACGTCACAGCTCGGTTCCTTGAAATATATATATATAATACTATATTACCCACACATGTTGGGACTGTTTAAAACTCACAGAAACAAGAAACAAGTATAAAAAGTGATGATTAAACAGCCCTAACATGTGTATAATATATATATTATTATATTATTATATTACCGAGACATGTCGGGACTGTTTAAAACTGACAGAAACAAGAAGCAATGTATTAAAAAGTGATGATTAAGAAATAATTGATCAAGTGATAACCTCCGCCGTCTTGGAGCGTTGCTGATTTGGATTAAGCAGTGGTACTTCACCCCAATACCTCGCAATGGTTCTGTCCACACTGTATACAATAAATGAAACCAAAAATCAACTACTTTTATAAGTATTAATTAGCATCTGTGTTCAAAGAAGCAGAAGAGAGAGAGAAACTGACTCGCCGCTGGCGTACTGGTAAAGCTTTCCAGTGGGAGAGAAAATGAGAACAGCAACTTCAGCATCACAGAGGACAGAAAGTTCATAAGCTTTCTTTAGAATCCCATTTTTCCTCTTCGAGAAGGTAACTTGCCTGCTTGTTGAGTTCTCTATTCTCTCCAGTGTAACTTTCCCTCTCCCCATTGACCTTTCTTCCTCTATACACAACCTAATTGATCAACTCTCCTTGCCTTCACACACACACACACACACACACACACACACATATATATATATATATACACTTTCTAGAACTTAAAAGTTTGATACGTAATAAATTGCCCTTTTAGTGAGAAATTAACTTTATTATCTGTATAATATGCATTCCCATGCAAGCTATATTTGAAAACAATTAAGGGAAAATGTTTTATGGAAAGAAGAATAGAAATTTCAGGAGAATCTGACAGCATGTCAGTGATGCCTTGGGTGACAGGACGCCACTAGTCATTTAATTTTCCAAAATGCTCCTCCCGTTCATTATTATTACCATAATGCTATTCATATGTCTTCGTCATCGTTACATAAATATTCTCATTCCATTGAGACATAGCCAGAGGATCTTTGACTCCACTATATTCTAAATTTATTAAAAAATAGGTATATATTCTATAATAATTAACAATTTTAACTCAATTAAAATTTATATTGATTCCACTAAAATTATTCATAATTTATTGACCATACTAGGATATTTATATATTTTATTAATCCAGAGATTCGAAAATACCTATAATTTTTTCATGTTTTCTTATCTCTTACTCAATTCCTCTCCTCTTTTCTCCTCTTTTCTTATTTATTTAGTTGAATTAATCAAGAAAAATTACTCATTTTGAGGTTACTTGGTTTATTTACTTACAAAAATAACATTGATATTACCTATTGTAAGTGCAAGTATTGAAAGAGTTTTCTGTGATGAAGATTGTGCAAAATTAACTACGGAATCAAATGGGATATCAATTAATAAATGATTGTCTTATTACACATATTGAGAGAGATATTTGATGGCATTGTCAAAAAGCAATTATACAGTGTTTTCAGAATGTGAAAAATCATCAAGAACTATTATAGAATCGATAATTTAGTATACATAACTTTTTAAATTACATTTTTTTGTATTTATTACTTTAATATATATTTTATTATAAACTTATCAACTTAGATCTTTTGACTCCACTTCTACCACTAGACTAGACCTACATGAACATTATTAATACTTTAGGAATCACGGAAATGTTTTATTCTTATCATATATATTATTTCTAACAAAATAAGTTATCATGCTAAAATATTAGAATCATCAAAAAAGATTTGGCAGATATTAAAAATAAGAAATACCCGATTAATCCGTGAATCATACTTTTTTATAAAAATTTTGATAAACCTTTTTTTAATATTCCAAGAATCAATGCAAAATTTTTATTTTTTTTTAATCAACAAACAAAATTCAAATTATTGGTAAAAACGTCCATTAAAATACGAATAGTTTGAATCTAAGATCTAAATATTTGGTTTACATTATGGAAGAAACACATGTATATGGGATATTAGATATTACTAGTTAGATATGAACTACATATATATGTAATCCGCCATACTGTTGTCAATTTAGATAGGCATTCCAATATTACTAGTTAGATATGAACTTTTGTTTCATCTTTGACTATGAATTGATTGAATAAAGGGATGAAATAAAGACAACTAATGAACGAAGAGTTTAAAAAAAGGTTCGAAAAAAAGAAATGGAAGAACAAAAAATTAAAAGTAAAAATTCGAGATTCAAGCGATTGCAGTTGATGTAACTAGTAGATACGTTCCTCCTCATGTCAACATATTTTATTGTCTAGGAGGAATTATGCTTAGTTGTTTTTTAGTACAAGTAGCTATAGGCTTTGCTATGACTTTATATTACTATCTGACCGTTACCGAGGCTTTTGAATAAAAAAGAGGAAAGAGAATCGAATCCTTTTATTACATATACATACTTATATATACTCTTTACTCATCTAAAAAAAAAAAAAAAAGGGATACTTCCAGACACCTAGCTAGATGAATAAGTATGTATGTATCAGGATCTATACTATTAATGAATAGGTATGTTGATCCATATCACTTAATTTGGAGAATAGGTATGTTACCCTTTAAATACATTATGTTACCCTAGGCGGATAGCAGGAATCGAACCCGCGTCTTCTCCTTGGCAAAGAGAAATTTTACCATTCAACTATATCCACATTTTTTTCGTTGAAATGTCTAGAGAATAAATTCCCTCATTGAAATTGCATAAGTAAACAATTGAATTGCATTCGGTTGTACGGTACCAACGAAATCGAGTGCTAACTCCCATTTCTTATTGAATTAACAGATCAACTTGCTATCAAAGATTTTCTTTTGGATTCAATAAATTTCGTAATTTTTTTTGACATATTTCACTTTATTATATTATGAGAATAAATTCTACTCCTTATAGCTATTCATTCTTACCTGTTCATAAAGAAAGGAATAGCAAATAGAATTTCAAATAAATATTGAATATTATAGAACATAACGATTAATAGAATAGAGTGATCTATAGAATTTCGATTTATTTATCAATAATAAAGATCGTACTCTTAATTCGATAATAAGATTTTTTTTTTTTCATTTTTGAATTCAAATTCAAATTTCATTTGAAATGCATTTTTTCTAACGTAATTTTATGAATCTATTCTCTTATTATCTATTATGTACTATACAAAATAGAATAAGAATATTTTTGGGGTGAGATATGAACAAGAGGTTTCGAGAAAACTTGTGTTTTTGGAATTATATGAAGTTAGTAAGCAAACAACAAATCCATGGGTATTTGAACCCGAGTATCCGGGAAAAAGCAGAATATTTGATGGACGAACGGGAGATCCTTTTGAACAACCTGTTATAATAGGAAAGTCTTATATCTTGAAATTAATTCATTAGGTTGATGATAAAATACACGAACACTCTAGTGGGTATTATGCACTTGTTACCCAACAACCCCTTAGAGGAAGGTCCAAGCAAGGGGGACAACGAGTATGATAAATAGAGGTTTGGGCTCTAGAAGGCTTTCTCTTCAGGACGGAGTGGAAGAAGGGAGGAGATTATCGAACGAGGAAAAGGACCCAATGACTTCGAAAGAATTGAATGAGGAGCCATATGAGGTGAAATCTCATGTATGGTTCTGTAGAGTGACAGTCAAGGTGACTTATCTGTCAACTTTTCCACTATCACCCCAAAAAAAACCAAACTTTGCCTCACATAAAGTTGCCAGAGTACGATCAACCTCTGGGTTTGAAATCACAATAGTAATTAAACGTTGTTCTTTTAAGGTCAATCTATTCACTCATCTAGATAATATTTTTCTTTGTTCACTAATAAATCGACTAATTGAACTCATGTTTCTATATTCAATTCGATCCCCCGATTGGATTGGGGCACACGCCTACGAAAAGATCACTTGGATTTAAGAAAGAGTTGCATTGATTTATCCATAATTTTTTTATTCCTCAACCTTCAAATCCTAATTGTTAAAATCTTATTCTGATTCGATCAAAAGTGATTTCTAAAATAAATTAATATGATTTATTTGTCTCTATTTAGTTGTTTCTATTTAAATATATGAATAATATATATATAATTTTTTTTTTTTTCATGTTACTTGGAAGAGTGACACACAAGCATAATTTTAAAACCTTAATTCATGGGGTTTTTGACAATCCAACATTCTTCAAAGTATTTAATGTTTGGATACAGAATTAAAAAAGACAAAAGGATGACCACTTGTCTTGCTCTTGCATTGCATGAGGATAAGTCACAGCTAATTTTAGGTAGAAAGGGTATACAAATGCAGGCAAACATAAATTTAAGTTAAGAGTTTGGGCAGAAAAAGAATATCTTTGCAATTTGAGAGATCGACACGTGTAACATCGTCTCAACAAAAGAATTCTATTTAGCGCAATGGGAGGTTGACAGGTGTTTTATTAAATTGACTGACTGATTGATTAGCAATTGAGGGGAAATTCAAAAAGTTTCTGGAAATGTCATGATCATGGTCTGTTGAATAAATATGAATCTCACATTTTGCTTTAACAGATACTCTAGATATATAGATGTCGACGTAATTCCTGGCTTCACATCACTACTGTAAAGATAAAATACCGTTGAAGAAGCCCCGGTGGCCCCTACCCACCCACCCACCCATATTCATAACCCTGGATATCATCCTTAATTATATCTTATCTTCCATTAATTTAATTATATCCCTTTCCTTTAAATATTAAATTCTAAACATTATAATTTTAAATCAATTTTTTAAATATTTAAAGAATCGCAATGAAGGCACTTAATTATTATCCAAACTTTTAAAACCTGTCTTCATATACATCAAGATTCAAATTAATTAATTAGGAATTAGGATTAGTCTAGTCACGTCCATTGATAAGATAATTATAATGATTATGGACCCGACGAAGGACTAATATAATTTCAGATTAACTGCATCAATAAAGGTCCAAGTTAAGTCAAGGGTTAAAGCATGATAAAGGTTTGGGTGGAGCCTAAATCAAAGGGAGGATGTCTGTTTTATTTATAACTTTATGTAACATGATCGGACATTGAGGGAACGGATAATGACTTGTGGGGACTCCATTTCTTCACTTTCCATTTTCCAAATCTAATTTGGAAAGAGTTGCGTGGCCAACTAAACATTGAATGTAGGCGTCGAAATTGATGGAGTCAATAGAAAAAAACAGGACGACCTGGTTTTACCATTTAATTACGTGACATAAACATGCCAAGCATATTGTATTAATCTGGTTANCTCTTCTTCTATATATATATATATATATATTCATTCTCTAATGCGCCAAATCACTCACGTCACAAATCACAAACCCTACAATCAAAGGTGAGTGTCTAAATCAAAAGTGAACGTCACAAATCACAAACCCTACAATCAAAGGTGAGTGTCTAAATCAAAAGTGAACGATTAGACGCTTACCTTTGGTTCGCATGTTGAAAGTTTTTAGATGCCCGCATTGGAGAATTTTCATATATATATTTTATACAATATTATAATATACCTTATTCAACATTTTGATAACAAAGATATTTAAATAAAATGCAATGATATA